GACTATTTGTTGATGGACAAATGGGGCAAGGATGAAGGATGTTTTGAACTGCAAGAATCCCAACTGTTCCGGGTACCTAGATATAGAGGATACATGATCATACACAGCTCTGTGAAGAGAAATATAAGTGGCGAGACACTTTCGTCTTTCTGTCCCGAGCCAAATACAGCTTATGTTTTAAGACACTGACCATTTATTCTTACAGCACCTAGGTTTATTGAGAATTTAGACTAACGAAACAACACGAGTTTGTTTATCTGACGTAAGCCGAATTATTCCGCTGATGACGAACGTCAAAATAACTACTCCGCGTGGAGATATATTTCCAAACTTCAATAAATATATATAAAGCAAATTCATGAATTTTCGTAAAAATTTTTGTTTGCTGCAACAAATAAACCCACAGTTATATATTTTCACGAAATATCTTTAGTAAATTCCATCGAACTAATGTACGTTTATTTCATGAAATAATGCCTACATCGATCTGTTTGTACTTAATCATTTTATTGTTGATCCTGAAGAGCTTCTGCCGTGTCTAAACTTCCTCCCAGAAGGATACACTTGAATCTGGTCTTATTCAGGTGTATGCCTCTCCATTTGTCATTTCTTTGTTTTCAAGGGTTTGTACACGTAACGGTCTTCAGGAAATATTCTACTCCATCATGTCACTATGGTAACGGTGTGATAAATCCCGTGGTTTGTTCTTACCTCTCGCTCAATATATGAGGTTTTGTGTGAAGGTCATATACTTTTCTGTACGTCGCATATTTTCGTCATTCTGCACACTATTCACAATAAATACCTCTTGCTATAGACATCTTTTACATGTAAAGTGATGGCAGGTATGTTGTTGTGTGTTACACCAGAAGCTTGTTGGTGTAGGAATGGTGATATGTATATTCACGATGTAACACGTGACTGGCGGCCTATCTAAATATACCAATATAACATTTTTCGTATTACACATAATCTATTGTTACGTCAGATTAAGATGATTAATATGACGTCATACACTGGCAGATTGCACACGATGACGTAACAATGGAAAACAGAAATACAGCTGTTTAAAGTAGAAATGTCAGTTTTCTAAAATATTTACGTGGATAATCGATAATGATAAGAAAAATATTTTAAATTCGTTTTCATTTGATGTGATTTATGAAACACGCCCAGATCTCTTTCCATTTAAAAACCGATTTAGCCCAAAACATCCACTAAAGCATAACATGTTAGATAGGATGTTCTTCCTATTAATGATAACTTTTCATCTTCATATTTTGACATAAATATTTTGACTGTCACTTCAATTTACACAGTTAAATTTTATATCATTATCACACTGTCAGTTTAAGTACCTTGACAATATCAAGGTCATAGGTCAACCTCATCAAAGTCACATTAGATATTGTCCTAAACACAAGAATACAAGTTTCGAACCAAATAAAAAAGTTGTGAGGTCTTAACATCTAGATTTCCTCCTCTCTACAATTGATTGTCATAACGTTTTCATTATAGATCCTTCTGTAATTAGTTTGATGACCTTTGACCTCCGGCGTCAACTTTGTTTACTCATTTTCATCTGTATCTGTGTTGGTTTTTTCCCCCTTTGTTATCTCACCTGGTCTGGTGTGAAATCATGTTAGAAATACCTTGAACCTTGACCTTTGGAAAGAAGGTTACAAGGATGAAACCTGATCAAGATTATAATATATATATTATGTTGCAGGGATCAGTTTGTTAAAACCATCTTTCATCTAATTAACCAAAAGCCTGAAACACTGTTTATATACAATTGTCTAACCCTCTTATAGACAGGGCTTTATTGAGACACTGTTTATATAATTACAATTGTCTAACCCTCTTATAGACAGGGCTTTATTGAGACACTGTTTATATAATTACAATTGTCTCACCCTCTTATAGACAGGGCTTTATTGAGACACTGTTTATATAATTACAATTGTCTAACCCTCTTATAGACAGGGCTTTATTGAGACACTGTTTATATAATTACAATTGTCTCACCCTCTTATAGACAGGGCTTTATTGAGACACTGTTTATATAATTACAATTGTCTCACCCTCTTATAGACAGGGCTTTATTGAGACACTGTTTATATAATTACAATTGTCTAACCCTCTTATAGACAGGGCTTTATTGAGACACTGTTTATTATATAATTACAATTGTCTAACCCTCTTATAGACAGGGCTTTATTGAGACACTGTTTATATAATTACAATTGTCTAACCCTCTTATAGACAGGGCTTTATTGAGACACTGTTTATATAATTACAATTGTCTCACCCTAATATAAAACGTATGAAATAAAGAAAAAGTGTAGAAGAGAGATAGACAGGGCTTTATTGAGACACTGTTTATATAATTACAATTGTCTCACTGTCTTATAGACAGTTTATATAATTACAATTGTCTAACCCTCTTATAGACAGGGCTTTATTGAGACACTGTTTATATAATTACAATTGTCTTACCCTCTTATAGACAGGGCTTTATTGAGACACTGACAGGGCTTTATTGAGACACTGTTTATATAATTACAATTGTCTAACCCTCTTATAGACAGGGCTTTATTGAGACACTGTTTATATAATTACAATTGTCTCACCCTCTTATAGACAGGGCTTTATTGAGACACTGTTTATATAATTACAATTGTCTCACCCTCTTATAGACAGGGCTTTACTGAGACACTTTATATAATTACAATTGTCTCACCAGTCTTATAGACAGGGCTTTATTGAGACACTGTTTATATAATTACAATTGTCTAACCCTCTTATAGACAGGGCTTTATTGAGACACTGTTTATATAATTACAATTGTCTCACCGTCTTATAGACAGGGCTTTATTGAGACACTGTTTATATAATTACAATTGTCTCACCCTCTTATAGACAGGGCTTTATTGAGACACTGTTTATATAATTACAATTGTCTCACCCTCTTTTTATATAATTACAATTGTCTTACCCTCTTATAGACAGGGCTTTATTGAGACACTGTTTATATAATTACAATTGTCTAACCCTCTTATAGACAGGGCTTTATTGAGACACTGTTTATATAATTACAATTGTCTCACCCTCTTATAGACAGGGCTTTATTGAGACACTGTTTATATAATTACAATTGTCTCACCCTCTTATAGACAGGGCTTTATTGAGACACTGTTTATATAATTACAATTGTCTCACCCTCTTATAGACAGGGCTTTATTGAGACACTGTTTATATAATTACAATTGTCTCACCCTCTTATAGACAGGGCTTTATTGAGACACTGTTTATATAATTACAATTGTCTCACCCTCTTATAGACAGGGCTTTATTGAGACACTGTTTATATAATTACAATTGTCTAACCCTCTTATAGACAGGGCTTTATTGAGACACTGTTTATATAATTACAATTGTCTCACCCTCTTATAGACAGGGCTTTATTGAGACACTGTTTATATAATTACAATTGTCTCACCCTCTTATAGACAGGGCTTTATTGAGACACTGTTTATATAATTACAATTGTCTAACCCTCTTATAGACAGGGCTTTATTGAGACACTGTTTATATAATTACAATTGTCTCACCCTCTTATAGACAGGGCTTTATTGAGACACTGTTTATATAATTACAATTGTCTCACCCTCTTATAGACAGGGCTTTATTGAGACACTGTTTATATAATTACAATTGTCTAACCCTCTTATAGACAGGGCTTTATTGAGACACTGTTTATATAATTACAATTGTCTAACCCTCTTATAGACAGGGACACTGTTTATATAATTACAATTGTCTCACCCTCTTATAGACAGGGCTTTATTGAGTTTATATAATTACAATTGTTAACTTATAGACAGGGCTTTATTGAGACACTGTTTATATAATTAGACAGGGCTTTATTGAGACACTGTTTATATAATTACAATTGTCTAACCCTCTTATAGACAGGGCTTTATTGAGACACTGTTTATATAATTACAATTGTCTAACCCTCTTATAGACAGGGCTTTATTGAGACACTGTTTATATAATTACAATTGTCTAACCCTCTTATAGACAGGGCTTTATTGAGACACTGTTTATATAATTACAATTGTCTAACCCTCTTATAGACAGGGCTTTATTGAGACACTGTTTATATAATTACAATTGTCTCACCCTCTTATAGACAGGGCTTTATTGAGACACTGTTTATATAATTACAATTGTCTAACCCTCTTATAGACAGGGCTTTATTGAGACACTGTTTATATAATTACAATTGTCTCACCCTCTTATAGACAGGGCTTTATTGAGACACTGTTTATATAATTACAATTGTCTCACCCTCTTATAGACAGGGCTTTATTGAGACACTGTTTATATAATTACAATTGTCTCACCCTCTTATAGACAGGGCTTTATTGAGACACTTTATATAATTACAATTGTCTCACCCTCTTATAGACAGGGCTTTATTGAGACACTGTTTATATAATTACAATTGTCTAACCCTCTTATAGACAGGGCTTTATTGAGACACTGTTTATATAATTCACCCTCTTATAGACAGGGCTTTATTAGACAGGGCTTTATTGAGACACTTTATATAATTACAATTGTCTAACCCTCTTATAGACAGGGCTTTATTGAGACACTTTATATAATTACAATTGTCTCACCCTCTTATAGACAGGGCTTTATTGAGACACTGTTTATATAATTACAATTGTCTCACCGTCTTATAGACAGGGCTTTATTGAGACACTTTATATAATTACAATTGTCTCACCGTCTTATAGACAGGGCTTTATTGAGACACTTTATATAATTACAATTGTCTAACCCTCTTATAGACAGGGCTTTATTGAGACACAGTTAACAAGAATAAACTACAGTCACCGTCTTTTAGACCGGGATTTATTGAGACACTTTATATAATTACAATTGAAAACACAACTCAGAGATAAAATAAAAACAGGAGTCCTCAATCTTCATTTATATGTTTATTTTTGTACCCTTTTATACAAGAACCAATGTTTGACGCCCAACGTCCCTCTAACATTTAGGAGATACAGCGCCCCCTACTGGTCTACAAACTACCATCAACAGTACTCAGTACCTGGTCCTTAGTCATTGTAAGCTCCAAACTCTACAAAAAAGTCCTACGCTTAATGGTAATTTTTTTCTTATTTCAATAAATCGATTATAACAAGGCTTTTTCACTTATGAACAATAAATGATCAGACATTTGTAAGACTTTTTTCAAAGGTAGAGTCCATTACCATTAGACAAGTGAGGTCACTGAGTACGTTTGATCACATCACTACTACGCATATTCTCAATGTAGCAAATATTCCATTTCAAAAATAGATGATAAAATTTATTAAAATTTTGTAAAACTGGAAGTGACTGTGGTGATATTTAGGATGATTTTTCATACAACATGCACACATACATTCGTACATGTAAGATGAGGCCAACAACAAGCCAGAAAACTGACAACAAGGTTTCTTCCCTCGCAAAATTAACCAGGCAAAAACCAGTCCTACCAACTAACCAAACAAGCAGGCATTGTCCCAATGAAAATATCCGACAACCACGCGCTGTCCTAGCAACCAACCTGACAACTGGGCACTGTCCTAGTGACAAACCTGACAACTAGGCACTGTCCTAGCAACCAACCTGACAACTAGGCACTGTCCAGCAACCAACCTGACAACTGGGCACTGTCCTAGTGACAAACCTGACAACTAGGCACTGTCCTAGCAACCAACCTGACAACTAGGCACTGTCCAGCAACCAACCTGACAACTGGACACTGTCCTAGTGACAAACCTGACAACTAGGCACTGTCCTAGCAACCAACCTGACGACTTGACACTGTCCTAGTGACAAACCTGACAACTAGGCACTGTCCTAGCAACCAACCTGACAACTAGGCACTGTCCTAGTGACAAACCTGACAACTAGGCACTGTCCTAGCAACCAACCTGACAACTAGGCACTGTCCTAGCGACCAACCTGACAACTAGCACTGTCATAGCGACAAACCGGACAACTAGGCACTGTCATAGCGACAAACCTGACAACCGTGAATGTCCTAACAAGCAGCATGCCAAATAGTGACTATCCCAGAGACAACCAGGACAGGTCTAAGGACCCAGTCATGTTAAACACAACCAGGTAATGCCCTTGGAACATCAACAACCTGTACAGGCCTTATGACCACTCTGTCATACTAAATACAACCAGGTACTGGCCCGGAAACATCAACAACCTGGATAAGCCTAAGGACTTTACATTCCTACTAAGTACAACCAGGTATTGCCCTTTGAACAACCTGGCAAGTATGAAGTTCTTCATGTCATTGGTATGTTTTGTCTGGACAATCAATCTTAGTTTTTTGGCTTCAACACTCAAAAAAAAAAAAAAAAAGAAAAAAAAGAAATTGTGGAAAAAATATAAGAGATTCATGAAAGAAAATATGTTTTTCCTGCTGTGTGTACCAGAACTAGCTGATGCCAAAATTCACTGGTGAAACTGCACAAAGGTTCATTTGAACAGAAGGAATGAAATAAAGAAAAATATTTCAAAAGTTTTCCTTAAAATTAATGCCTCAGTGTTCGATAACTAGAAATTATAGAAAGGGAGAATTTCCTACATCAGGAAATAAGGTTCACACAGGGGGAAAAACTCATGTTTATATAAAATACGTAACAATAAACACGTCATGTTTAATAACACCACAACGTCATGCATCATATCAAACCCGAAGCCAGGTAACATGAAAAATATGCACCAAAAAAAACTGTGTGAAAATACATTATAATATCTTTTCATTTTCAACATTCAATACACAATGAAAAGTATTCACTCCATACATCCAAGGAGAAGTCTTGGAAATTTTTACAATGGAGTTTCTGGAATATTTCTGATTGACATAAAGCTACAACATGTCCTCAAAACCTAATAAAAAATTTCGAAAGAATTTTCTAAAAAAAATTTCACAATGTCCCGTCCAAATTTTCCCCAAAAGATATTGTCGTAGCATCGTAGAGAACACTAGTAATGCGAGAGAGATGATGATTTTATAAATGTCGATGATTTACGGCAGCACTTTAATAACAGCGACCTCCTGCTAACAGTTAAAAAATGTAACAGGATTCTTGTTCTCAATAAAGCTGTTTAGTTCACTGACCAAGGCACAAAAGGTCGCACCTAGTGGTCGCTATCACACTAAATAGATGTTCACAACCAACCAAATCTAGCAGTCCTCTCTCAGTTCCAAATCATGGGTATACACTCAAACTAAATGATCAGTCTCCCTTTAATTCACACCTAAGAATGAACCAGGAACAGACTGAATGCAAACCCCATACTCATTGTTCCATAAACTGTCTGAAATTCACATCCTTGCATTTCAGGAAGATAACACTAGAATTTATAAAAAAAAAAAAAATCACAGGAAATCAATACAAAACAGGATATGCATACTAATACATGCACAATCTTGCTACAACATGATCGCCCACTATAATCGACCTTTGAACCTAGGCTCAACTGAAGGGCTTTCTCATAATTCTTAGGCCTAAAAACAGATTACTTGTCCAGCACTGCCCACTATAACTATACTTCCAAACATGATATATGACTCAGCAGATCTTACACCTGACCCAAGATCTTATATATCAACCCCGAGATTCACCGCACGACCCAAGAGATTTTATAAATGACCTCGGATATCTAATGCATGACTCCTGACATCTAACACCACGTCACAACCACTCCCTCCAACCTTTCAGCAATACATCATCTACATCATGTGTTGCTTGTTTTATAAGACTCATACAACACCCGGTCCCGAGTGATCAGATCACACAGTGGTACAGACTTCTCTACTAGGCCTGAATATGTACAGAAGTAGGATTCAACGTATGTACAACCTGGTTCCTCCCTCACGTCCGCCATAGTGTAATATCTATATATATATATATACATATTTTATGTATGTAAATCTGGCTAGCATGCAACATCACAAAGTCTGTGAACGACACGCTTCCTGCATCGTTTAGTTCATGAACCACAATACATGCTCCTTGTTAAGGAGTCTACCAGCAATACATGTTTTTCATGTCACTTTAACCGTGAACAATGCCTGCTCCCTGCATCATTATGTCTGTGAACAATGCCTGCTCCCTGCGTCATAATGTCTGTGAACACTGTATGCTATATGCATCATTTAGTCCGTGAACACTGCATGCTTCCAAACATGCCTCCCCGGGTCTTTTCCTCTCCGCTCATCCCCTGGGAGGGACGACCTCCAGTTCCATCCCCCAGGTATTTCTTCTGGGGTAAGGATGCTCCTCCTAGGCTGCCATCACAGTCCCGCACCGAGTACTTAACATCACCGTACCTGTAGGGGTCAGAGGTCACAGGGTTGTTCTCCTGTCCAAGGTAGGAGAAGGCGCTATGTAGCTGGACTTCACTGTCCCGACCCCCCGTGATGGTGCCTGCCCGGGCCGCAGGGACCCGGCTACATCCAACGTTCATCATGCCCGGCACACTCATGGAAGGGCTATCTGGATCAAAGGAGACCCTGATAGTTACATATGAACACAACACAAACTGACATGGTTATTTTCTCCGATAAAACAATGGGGCTTTCACATAATGAAACATACCATACAACGAGTTTATTTCGTCATGCATTAATTTCATCATTTGATTAAGCAATGTCATATTTCTGCCATTGAAAAGTAGGAAATGCATGTAATGTTTCTCAATTAGCCATGCATTCTTACTGAAAAATATTGACCGATAAACCCTCGTTATATGTTGTTTTATGTCTGTGATAAAAGGAGGGGCCCCTTACCTGATATGTACAGGGTCATTTTAGTTTACAATACAATGTGGTTATAATGTGGTAACAAAACATCCCTAAAGGATCTTGGCACTAACATCTTTTTCTTCTCTTTCTTTTCACAGTGTAAATCATCTTTTTCCACAAACTGAAGGTGTTCAATTATCTTACACAGAAAACCACCACATTAAATTGGACAAATAATTTTTTCTGGCAAAGCGATGCTTCAAATGACAAATCCATCCATTACTGTCTTTATAATGAGAATATTGATGACAAACTCCATCAAAATCAGTGCCTACACCAGGCAACTGAAATTTCTGTCTCAAAACTGGACAACAAACGAAAATTAGGAAGATCCATCCAATAGGAAGAAGAAATATCTAACTTTCAAAATCAGAGACCACCTGTTGGCCATTTTGTTTCTTCTGGTCATTTTCACATCTAAACTCACATGATTAGAGACTAAGTATAAAAACTGATCATTATTTATCCTGCTCTTCACCAGATAGAGTGAATACAGAAATTATTTATCCTGCTCTTCACCAGATAGAGTGAATACAGAACTTATTTATCCTGCTCTTCACCAGATAGAGTGAATACAGAAATTATTTATCCTGCTCTTCACCAGATAGAGTGAATACAGAAATTATTTATCCTGCTCTACACCAGATAGAGTGAATACAGAACTTATTTATCCTGCTCTTCACCAGATAGAGTGAATACAGAACTTATTTAAGTATAGACATTCGAGAAATGACAAACGAGACAAAAGGCGATTTGAATGGCTCACCATCATGATAATGGTGAACTTATACTTTAACAGAAATATTTCCATTTTACATTACAAAACTGATCTCACTAAATCACTGATCATCAATTTATTTATACAGGAAAGTAAAAGCCATCACCAGGGTCTAAGGTCAAGGGTCAAGAAAAAGGTCATAAATAATGAAAGAGCGAAAAGGTCAGGTTATACATGACCCCTATTAGAATGATTAGCAGAAAGGTGAAAGGTCATCAATGAGTAGGGTTAAAAGTCACAGTAATATTCCAAGGTTGTTAAGACAATGGAAGTAGTTCAGAAGATGAGAGAAAGTAAACAGTGATTTTTGTGTGATTTTTTTTTCTTTTTATTTTTCATTCTATTTCAGATGAGTCCAGACAATCATTTTCAAAAATAGGGAAAGCATGAAAGCAGAGGTCCACGATCCCAAAAATCACTGATATGAAAGCATTGAGAACATGGCCATACAGAAACAGAAAGAGAGAGCTCCTCACAGAACTGTTTCATCCTGTTGGAAGGAAAGTGAAGAGATGGAGGATGAAAAATCTAGTTGGTTGGAGCATTTTACCTTCACACAAACTGGGGGCGATCGGTAGGAGAGGGCCTTAGCTTCCCTGGTAGTTGTTATCTAGGTCGTCGTCATGGTGTTCGCTTAGAAAAGGTAGCAACATGTTGCGTACCTTACCTGCCAGAGCGGCCTGCTGCGCAGCAATGTCATCTGATGATAGACCACGCCCACCCGGCATTTCATCCGTCTTCTCCTCCTCACGACGCTTAAGGCACGCTGCCTTGGGGTTCAGATTACGCTCTAGAAGGAAAAACGAGGATGTCGCATTGAGATAAATATACATGTAATGATTGACTAATCATCTTTAAAGGAAATTATATAAACATATACAAAGAATTTCAAATAGACATCCAATTCAGAAATAAATAAACAGGAGCTGTTTCCACAAGATATAGACCTCAAATTTATACAGATAGTAGACTTCCTTAATGTTTGACACTAGCTGTTGGGAGTTATGCCATGTTTAGATCAATCACGTCTATCCCTAATCTATCATTCTTCTGATCTAAATCAGTTGAGGAGTTAAAGGGATTTAGGAGATATCTTGTACACAAGCAGATAGGTTCACGAAGATACCCACCTCTAACCTGAGCCTCCAATGTAGTGATGACGTTGACGGCGTGCTGGAGGATCATAAGTTTGGTGAGGGGCTGACTGCTAGATGTGTGCAGGGATACCATTGTCCCTAACTCTTTGAAGGCCTCATTGATATCTCGCACACGAACCCTGAAATAAAGGGAGATAACTCTGGTCACATGCAGAGATTACTCTATTTCCAGATTGAAGAGAACCTATTTTGAAATAAAGGGAGATAACTCTGGTCATATGCAGGGATTACACTATTTCCAGATAGAAGAGAACCTATTTCCAGCAACTGACCGACCTCTGGCTAATTCAAAACAATTTAAATAATGTAGATAATTCAGAGGGGTTATTTAACAATTGAATGAACAAAACCCAAAATATATAACCACAGAACTAAGGGGAACAACTCTTCCTGACAGAGTATTAAATTTTCAGTGACATCAAAAGGAACCAAACCAGTCAGACCAGATTTTGCAAATAATTTGATGGTCGGTGGGCTGTGCTATTGTTTTTCTTTCCACAAACATGAAGCCTGGATTCCATTACAAAATGAATTTTCTTGAATAAACTGTTACTTCTGTAAAAACAAAAGACAATATCATGCCACCTTACTACATGTTAGAACCAAGCTCTACAATTACACTTGTAGTACTATAACCCTTCTGTTATACTTCTAACATAACTGTACTTTAATACTGAAATCATACTGCAGTCATACCATTACCATACTGAAACCATACTGAAATTATACTGTATTAATAATTTAAAGATAACTCATAACTTATATATGGAATATAAACCAATTTGCAACTCACAAATACAACCCCTTACATCTTCTAGAGATAACAGAAAAAGAGCCCAAAACAAGGGCAACAACTCAATGTAAAGAACATGCTGTTTGTAATATTAATACACATAATTCAACCCACTCAACTGAAATATCTTCAGGTACCAGGATATCCAGATTTCAGCATAATACTTCCATTATAACACATTTACAAAACACACATGTAAAAGTTTTGTACCAATACTGGTACAAAGTTACCTGAACAAAATATTTGCTTTTTTTTTTTAACTTTAGAATGTTTGATGTGTAAATTTATACTAGCATTGTTGGCCATACTTCATCAATCTGTCACCACAGAAAATTGCATGCGTTAGAGTATCTTCAACATATTTTTTATCAAGGTGTTATCAATTAACTGTTAAGATCCGATAACTATATTTCAAAGGGAGAACAAATCCAGTAAGATGTTTCACTTGGATTAATTTTCATGTAGCACAATATATATGAAATTTGAATTTCACAGCTTTCACAATAATTACCATGGAAACATTTCAATGTGACTGATTAGTTAAACATCACTTGATTGTCATCAACAGAACATTTCAAAATCTTGACATTAAAATCAGTTAAGCACTTAAGTCTTCAGTATTTTGTAAGAAACCAACTTCATTAATCTCAAAGTGACACTTTCTCACACAACTGTGGTTTTTTTTCTTCTTCTTCTTCTCAGAAAATCTAAATCACAATTTTTTTTTTGGATATTCAAAAAATTATATCAATGAAGTATATTATACTTGACAACACAGGTATATTAATGTCAAAAATGTTCATTATAAAACTTCTTACAAGTTTGCAAATATTTCTATAAAAATAACTTGGAAATAAGTAATACTGACAATAACCAACCATAAAAACACAAGTTATTTGTGCATGTTTCAGGGCAACCACAAAATTCTGTTAATTGCTCTGGTCAAAATCATTTTACTTTCCATTAAATGTTAACGTTGCACAATTTGAGTGTTTATGGCAGGATCCAACATAGCTATTTCACAACAAAAGATAAAAATTCTTACATTTTAACTTAGAACCACTAAACTTGCTATTAACATTGAACACGTTCAAAAACAATATTTCAAAAATTTGTTGAAACTGCATGTAATTACCAGCTTCTTGTTCTAAACATCACAAAGTATTATGTTAGTGGGGGTTGAAAACATTAAAAACCTTTGTCTCACCCCTGCAGACCACAGTAGACTGGTCTGGTTCAATGGAATAGAGAGTCTATTGTGGCTACTGGAGGGGTGAACAGGTTGGCAGATTCACTCTAGACTGTCTATCTATATCACCATCTGACAGAAATACAAGTCATGCCTGGGTTACACTGTCAGCATATTTGACATGATTTCAGCACAAAGTCATGTTCTTGTGTGTGTAGTCTCGGTCAGGTCAATCAAGTCCATTGTTAGTCAAACAGGCATTTTGTTAATACTTATATCGACCATTCTGAGTTTAGTTTGATTATAACACATGATACAGAGGATAATCAATTAAAGATGGACTAACTGGAGAACCACATGACAGTAAGTCCCTAACATAACGAGGGGCAGGAGAGCTAAGGAAAATCCTTTTAACAAAACACACTAAATTTACACTAAACTCGAGTATTGTCAGGCAAACAAACACTAAACTTAGTATGACCTAGTCTCAATACAGCCTAACTTCAGCTGAACTAAACATTTCTAGCCTGACCTTAACTAGACCTGGACAAAGCTAACACTATATCGACAAACAATAAATTGGACTATTTTCTCACTTTCTGACCTACTTTGGACCTATCTGTGTCATTACCAGAATGATGATGAACGGAACTATGTACCTTGGGTCGGGATCTGACGTGTTCACTGCCAGTAAACCACAAAAGACTCTCCAACATCCAATAACAACATTCAATCAACAGAGGCCGCAGAAATCTGCGTCTACTCCAGAGAGAGAGAGAGAAAAGAAGGGAGGACAGGTGTCTTCTCCCCACAGGGATAGACAAAGATCTCACCCATGGTCGAAGAGAGAGAACAGTAGGATGAAGTCTCCGTACCATGGTTGTTTTACATCTAGCTGCATTACTTTCAAATTTGAGCATATCTTAATTCCGTTAACTACTATAAACTTTTTTTTCACTTTTGTGCACATTTCAAATCCAATGGCCATTCTCAAAACAAATTAACTGGATTTTTTCCTTTTTTTTTCTTCAATTTTCTCATTTGACATATATATTTTGGTTTACAGTATATTTCTAGTTTTCCAAAAATGACCTTGAATTATCAGTTTGTTATATGACCTTGAGAATTGACTGATAAATGGGTATTAGGGTCAATTTCTCTAATTAATGATAGGCTTTCAACCTTATGCTTTCTCTGACCTTTGACCACAAATCTTAATCACACGATAAGTAAAAGATAAAAATGAATCTGAATCATTCTCTGAATTGAGTGACCTTTGACCTCAGATTAATAATTTTTACTTTTTGAATGTTCCTGAGAACTATGTTTGTCTTGTAAATCTGACCTTGCAACGTGTGCTTTTGACCTTACCATCTGACCTTGACCTATGTAACAACCATGAGAAGGAGAGAAGGAGAAGGACAAACAAGATGGCGGTGTGTAATTGATACTAACCTCTCTCGGTCATTGTTAGCTTGGCGTCGTTTCGCTTTACTGAGAGAATCCTCATCGGTACTTTAAAAACCAAACAGAAACAGTTAACACAGTAATCTCTGGTATTACCACCACCACCAGTACAACACCAAACCGTCAGTATCTCAACACTTATCTCTAGCTTGGGCAAATACAAAATACGTACATTTCAAGCTTCAAGCTTAACTGATCTCTTTTTAAAAGCGACACGGTAGGTTTATGACAATATATGCAGGATTTTTCTTTTTCTTTTTTGCTTCATCCCCCACCCATCCCCATATCCCCAACATTTTGCCAGAAATTTACACCAAAGAACTTAAAATTCAAACTCATCAAAGTGCATATTTCTGAAAATAATAATTTCTAAAATTTGTGGGAATAATATTGAAGATTTCAAGTGAAATCAATATTCAGAAGTTGGTTTGAAGTGTACATGCATTCACTTAAAAACAGTTTTTCTTTAAAATCCTTAATAAACCAGGTTGCTTATCAAAGGAGCCATTTAAGTCATTTGTATCCTGAGGTCAAAGTTCATCTACCTACATGGCTGTCAATGTATGTATGCAGGCAAGTCATACATGTCACACTGTTATTTTCTCTCAAACAATTTGGCCCAAACTGGTCGTCATGGTGTTTTATTGTAAGTAATCATTAAAACTTCTATTAAATCATAATATGTACACTTCTAAATTTGAAAAAATAAAAATAAAAATTTCAAGTAAAATTATTATGTCATTCGCAAAATGTAATACCAGCAGTCATATCATTGATACGGTCGATTAGACATACAGGTTAAGGGTGACCGATCTGATACCAGGGCTATTTATAGATGGTCGACCATGTGTATCAGCAATGGCTGGTAATCTTATAACATGTCATGGATGAATAACCTTTGAGGATTAGGCTATTGGTCACTGATCCTACAGCAGGACATGGATGGCTGATCACATACTCCTGCTATGGTTCAATGAACACTCCCGACCCCCCCTACCCCTGTGACGTGTCACAGACCAATATATATAGCGATACACCCAGACTCTGGATATACTTCAGCTTCTACACACCTTTCCCGTGCGTTGTTGGCCTGGCGACGTACACGCTCCCGTTCTGCCTTCGCCTCTGGAGATTCGTCCTCCTCAGGTGGTTCTGTGCTACTCCTGAAAATAAACAGTAAATGTTACTTAAAATCCAAATTTGAACAAATCCACACCCTCCTAGATGTAGCAGATCACTGCTTTGGCTACGCAACAAATCCGTTTAGAAATGTTCATATTAAGAATGTTTGGCCCTTGGAAAATTTTTCGCCCAAAAGATACTCTACAAAATCTTATTTATTCTTGAAAGAAATGTTATGAATATGCTTATATACAGATGTGCATATCACAGAATGAAAAGTGATAAGTACATATTTCTTAAAGTCAGCAAACAGATGAACCAATGATCTTTTCCTTCCCTTTACAAATTAAACACAAATGATATAATTACAAGAGGGATTTCAAATCATTATGTCGTGTTGAATGTTACACCTTATTTTATCATGTCAGTAATATTGTTTCCTGATGATGTTATTAAGATAATTGATGACGTCACATGACCAGTGAAAACTAATGAATACTCCACCTGAAGTTGCCAAAAAGGCAGAAAGTCTTTTCTTTTTCTCATTTTTTCGATATATATTGATATTTTCCCCCTCAAATTTTTTTGTCTTTGAAATGTCAACAGTGTAGTTTTAGTGGTATCACATCCGAAACAATTTAGTAAATATATTTACAGTATTTTTCATCTGCACAGAGAATTCAGTATTTCTTCTCCAGTTAACAGCTGGGTAGACAATGGCTTTGGACCCAATGACTTCCTGGTTAAAAACACTGAACCATGATAAAAAACTAACCGTGACCGTTTCGCAGGAGGACCGGTGGTCGAACTGCCACCGGGAGAAAGTTGAGATTTGTCTCCCCCTGAGCTGCACTCGCTTTTCATAGATTCTCCCTCTGCCTTGTCCAAAGACTCGGACTTGAGATTCTCGTGATCTGGGTCAGCAGAACTCTCACCACGCAGCACTGCAAGTACAGAAACATGATTATTAGCTGTCGGTGAGAAACAGTGTACACTTTTAACTGGAACATGCTTCCATTGTTAATCAAAAGTATGTTAGGAAGGCTTCAGTTAAAATGTTGTCTGAAAATATAACATCACTAAAATTTTGTATCACTCCTGGACAACCTATTGCTACTGGGGATCAGTAATTCTTTGGTATTTTCTTGTCACGTATCTTTTCGTTTGCTAAAATTAAATTACATATAGCAGAAAGTTAAAAAAAAAAAAAAAACATGGCAAGCCACAAGCCTTTATGAAACTGTATAACCATTAATTTTTGTGGGGGATTTATCTTCAAGCATCCATGAAATGTCTTTTTTTTTTTTGAAAACCACTAAAATTAAACCCCCGAATATGATATGATATTACATTATGAGAAAGTGGGATAAGAAAATACATACCATCAATTGGTTTGGCTGGATCAGATGTGCTTGGTCTACTATCACTCATGGAGTGATGGCTATTTGTCTGAAAAAATAGTCAGAGTTGTTTCCCTTAGATCACATAAAAAATATATTTTCTAAATATATCTGGTGCAAAATGGATAAACTTTTGGAAGGAAATATATATAAAAATAAAAACATATTCCATAATTTTGAGATTATCAATGAAAATTAACTGCCATTACAGTTAAACGGTTACATTCTTTTCCTCCTTACACACGTCTACACAGGCATACTTGAAAAATATTTCTAATTAAATTGATATTGCCATCAAGTTTCTTTATACAACATTGTCAATTCACCAGGTCAAAGTTTTATTTCCAATAAAAAAGAAATTTCAACAGAAGTTAAAGTTAAGTTCTAATTTATCAAATTTTAAACAATATACTAATAGTAAGATGCCACAAACAGTGCATATATTTATGAATATTTATTTTGCATCGTACCAGTGACTCTAGGTGGCTTGTCATGCCACTCAGGCCCGAGAGGCCACCCATGCTTCCCATCATGCCGTTGGAATGTGAGCCCGACCCCATCATGGTGGACGGTAACCCCTGGTGCCCCGGCATGCCAGGCATCTCAGCATGGTGACGTAACACATGTATAGCGTCTTCAATCCGCTCCTCCATACGACTCTGCGAATAACGGAAAGTCAGGTCAGTAAATACAGAGATTTCAACATTTACAGCAAATACAGATCACAGATTTATCATCCATGTACATTGCTGGCAAAATCTTTTCTACAATATCGGATAAACTCTTTCTTGCGGACAAGTGTCCCTCTTATTACAGGGTAAAGACTAGTTTTCCTAACAGACACTAATACAATGTGAAACTATCCAGGCTCTTAAGTGTATTTAAGGACAGATTGGAACTTGTTTATCTAAACTTGTCATAATCCCATTCTTTTTTTTTGCCGGAAACGACAAAAGGCTTGAACATGGAGGTGGATGCAAATTGGCAATAGAAAGCATGTTGTTGTATCATTTCAACATAAACACAGCAAGGAAAGCCTGTAAAACAGTTCTCAAGTTATGGGAGAAAAACAGTATCAATGTTGAATCTATATTCTATTTCTTATCCCATTTAAAGTTCTGATATTTCCATCAAACCACAGAGTTGGGCTGGTAAAGGCATCATCTCCTGTCTGTGATGGCTTTGTCAGGACCTGCTCTAGCTCGGCAGGCCAGTATTTTGATGGGACAGTATGACATAACCAGACGTAATGGCATCTCCCAGAGTACTGTAGCACACCTGCCCACACTGTACCTCCCCATGTTACATAACAAGTAACAACGACTCCAGCTGTTGCCCCCTCCCTACAGATGACAAACCTATTAAGTAGCCACCACTGGCTAAAACATCACAACTACGTATCATCCTGGAAGAATGTGTACTGTTTTATTACTTATATTTTAACAACTAGTCTTCGTATGGATTTCAAACTTTCTTTTATATTTTTTGCGTCTTAAAGGATAAGGGGAGAATGTGATGTAGGGAAGAATTGAGGGGCTGTAAAGGATAAGGGGAGAATGTGATGTAGGGAAGAATTGAGGGGCTGTAAAGGATAAGGGGAGAATGTGATGTAGGGAAGAATTGAGGGGCTGTAAAGGATAAGGGGAGAATGTGATGTAGGGAAGAATTGAGGGGCTGTAAAGGATAAGGGGAGAATGTGATGTAGGGAAGAATTGAGGGGCTGTAAAGGATAAGGGGAGAATGTGATTTAGGGTAGAATTGAGGGGCTGTAAAGGAGAAGGAGAGAATGTGATTTAGGGTAGAACTGAAGGGCTGTAAAGGATAAGGGGAGAATGTGATTTAGGGTAGAATTGAGGGGCTGTAAAGGATAATGGGATAATGTGATTTAGGGTAGAATTGAGGGGCTGTAAAGGATAAGGGGAATGTGATTTAGGGTAGAACTGAGGGGCTGTAAAGGAGAAGGAGAGAATGTGATTTAGGGTAGAACTGAAGGGCTGTAAAGGAGAAGGAGAGAATGTGATTTAGGGTAGAACTGAAGGGCTGTGAAGGAGAAGGAGAGAATGTGATTTAGGGTAGAATTGAGGGGCTGTAAAGGAGAAGGAGAGAATGTGATTTAGGGTAGAACTGAAGGGCTGTAAAGGATAAGGGGAGAATGTGATTTAGGGTAGAATTGAGGGGCTGTAAAGGATAATGGGATAATGTGATTTAGGGTAGAATTGAGGGGCTGTAAAGGATAAGGGGAATGTGATTTAGGGTAGAACTGAGGGGCTGTAAAGGAGAAGGAGAGAATGTGATTTAGGGTAGAACTGAAGGGCTGTAAAGGAGAAGGAGAGAATGTGATTTAGGGTAGAACTGAAGGGCTGTGAAGGAGAAGGAGAGAATGTGATTTAGGGTAGAATTGAGGGGCTGTAAAGGAGAAGGAGAGAATTTGATTTAGAGTAGAATTGAGGGGCTGTAAAGGAGGAGAAGAGAATGGTTTAGGGTAGAATTGAAGGATTTTGGTATTGAATACAAACAAGTCCAGAGATGAAGGCACAGGACCACTGAGGAGATACACAAAATGGACTCCAACTCTATAAACAAGGACTGAAAGCCACAAAGAGAAGTGAAACGGTCTGACTCTTAGAATGCCTGGGAGATAAGTCGCTTATGACCTCCTGTGAGCTATGCTAAGATTTCAGGATGTTTGGAGTGGTCACCAACTTGGAGCTATGCTTTGGGTTGGAGATGCTGGAGAGAAACACAAGGGACTAACCACGAGACCCCAGGGGAGAGTTTAAAGACACTACAATAACAAGATAACTAAGGTTAACATGGTGACATAGTTCTGACAGTGTGGTTAAAGTGTGAGAGACTGAACAAAAGGTGTTAACAGGGCAGGGTTACTCACCACACTCACCAGATTGTGGAGGGGGCCACCGCCACCTGTGCCACCACTGCCACCACTGGTACCACCACCGCTGCCACCGCTCTCAAAGTGTGGTGAGGTAGAACTTTGTGCTGACGGGCGTTGCCACTGGCTTGCTGCACCTGTTACCATGGAAACTGTACAATCAATACTGCAGAATAATTCTATGTAAATATAATGCGTAGCTGCTCATTAAACAAATGCTAAATATTCGATGTAAACTTGATAATTCCTTAATCAAAGCTTGGGCAGAAAAAGTGTTGAAAAATCCTTTGATCGCCTGTAATTAAAACTAATTCAAAGCAGAATCTACAGGATCCATTATTTTCACTACACTAATTCGACTTGAATTACTCGACAGTTCTGTAAAAACAATTGTGTCGTTTAACACATGGAGGAAACTTTCTTGACATTGAGGACGGGGAAGATACTGGTTTTGAGGAAAATTACCTGACATTGGGGGCGGGGAAGATACTGGTGTTGAGGAATTAGAGCCATAATTACTGCTTGTATGATCTGTTGGTGAATATATCTGTAAATACACAAAACATGACGTAAACATACATTATACAGTCAATCAACTGAATAGGACTTTTTCTAAACTGAAATTTTATAACCTCTAGAATATCCAAACTTCACTGGGCCCTATCTCTAGAATATCCCAACTTAAAATAAAAGTTTAGATCATTTTTTTATTTTGATAGTCACAAACTACGGGGAGATAAGCCAGTGTAGGTATTTAGCTGAGCAGGTCTTTACTAAGTGGCTATAGTTGAGCAGGTCTTTACTAAGTGGCTAGCAGCCAGTCGAGCAGTCAATGTACTAGATAAGTGAAAGACTTGAATAAGCATCACTGAATACTAAATGGTATGTGTAGAATACAAAAAAAAAAAAAAACCTATCAATTCAGACAGATCCTTTGTTTGAACTTCAATAACTAAAATTAGTTCAAATTTGTCCTCATAAATATTCATAATTTTTTTATTAACATAACATTCTTTGAATTATGTAAATTTTCATTTGAATTCATATTACAAATAAAGCTAAATTGTCTTTTTATAGAAATATCAAACACATTTATTATACCATCCATTTCCTGTCATTACCTCCGCTATACCAAACCACTTCAAAATGCTGCAGAATTTCATTTTTATATCAGAGATGAAGAACATCATTTGTTGTGAATTAATTTCTGATCACCATCAACCTCAGCAGAACTAAGTCATCAACTTTAAAAACATTATTGATATATTATTGAAAGCTTCTAAATTTAACCATGCTGTCAATCAAAAGTCGTCAAAACCAATCATTACCAAACATGTCAGATATTGATTAATTTTTGTAAAACTAGGACTAACATCTTTGTTTCTACCAGAAATAGACCATCAGAATTATGTTACACACAGAATTAGCCATCAACAACAGGTAAAAAGACCAACAGTTTTACACAATAACCAATACTTACCGACGCTAATGCTTTTCCGAGGGCGTCACCGGTCTGTGACGGGCCTTGTGTAGCCCGACCACCCATCATGTCGCCATTGACGGAGGGGGATGAGGAGGAGAAGGAAGAAGAGCTTGGGGGTAAAGTCGTGCCCCCGCGGAACGTTGACATTGGGGGTAGACCCGACTGTAACATGTTTTCTTGGGCCATTGATATGGTGGGGTAGCCCTGAAAAAGAAAATAAATAACTTTTTTGTGAAACGATGTTAGCTGAAGCTTATCTAGGTCAAAGACTTTTCTTTTTTATGTAAATAACTTCTCTTCAATTAATAACAGGGAAAAATGGATGCCAAGGGATTAGTACAAAGTCTTTAATTAAAAGTAAAGGGGGAGCACAGGGGCCATTACAAAGTCTTCTATTCAAAGTAAAGGGGAGCACAGGGGCCAGTACAAAGTCTTTAATTCAAAGTAAAGGGGGAGCACAGGGGCCAGTACAACATCTTCTATTCAAAGTAAAGGGGAGCACAGGGGCCAGTACAAAGTCTTCTATTCAAAGTAAAGGGGAGCACAGGGGCCAGTACAACGTCTTCTATTCAAAGTAAAGGGGGAGCACAGGGGCCAGTACAAAGTCTTCTATTCTGAAAGAAGCGAGTTGCTTACTTTGGTGCAGTTGTTGACGTTTTTACACAACTATAGATATAGATATGTACATAGGCTTATTGTTATACACAACTCTCTTGAGATGTAAAACATATATACTTATCACATAGTCTACATGTTTTTCACAAGTTTCATATTCGTTGCATTTAAACAATTTTTTTTAAAAGATTCTGACATGAAATGTATGAAATTTCACATCCATTACAAAAACATGTGTATGTGTTCCCTCATATGGTAGATCCTTGCAAACAAGTTTCTCATTTAATTTAATAAGCTCAATTACAAGTCTATGTGTGGCTAATGTTTCTGTAACCCATAATAGGATCCATGTCTCTCTTGCTTTAATAATTTGATACAGAAATGTTCAGTTAACACTGCTTCTAACACATCTGGAAATATTTTGTGCAAGCACCAATTCTTAATATAAGTAAAAGTTTTTGAAGCACAATAGGAAAATATTGGTTTACAACTTCAGAAAAATCTCATTTTTCATCTATAAAATGTTAGATCCTTGAAAATGAAAAAAAAAAAAAAAAATAGGGATGAACAGTGTAATATTAATTATACAAGGTTATTTTTGCACTAAGTAAAAAATTGTTTTTGAGTAGTGTTAAATTTGTCCTCATTCACGACCTAATAAACACTGAACTGTAGATTTCAGCTTTAAGTCAAACTTGCATCAGATTTTTCTTTTTTCAATTTATTTGCAAAAGGACAAAACGAGAGAAAGCTAAAATGGTGGGAAAGTTTCAAGTAAAACAAATAACAGTTGATCTGTAATACTTTCACTGGCAAGTATCCGGACGACAGCAGAGAGATGTACCAATGTCTGCACAACACCACTGATAAATCTAATGACGACAGCAGAGAGATGTACCAATGTCTGCACAACACCACTGATAAATCTAATGACGACAGCAGAGAGATGTACCAATGTCTGCACAACACCACTGATAAATCTAATGACAGCAGAGAGATGTACCAATGTCTGCACAACACCACTGATAAATCTAATGACGACAGCAGAGAGATGTACCAATGTCTGCACAACACCACTGATAAATCTAATGACGACAGCAGAGAGATGTACCAATGTCTCCACAACACCACTGATAAATCTAATGACAACACCACTGATAAATCTAATGACAACACCACTGATAAATCTAATGACGACAGCAGAGAGATGTACCAATGTCTGCACAACACCACTGATAAATCTAATGACGACAGCAGAGAGATGTACCAATGTCTGCACAACACCACTGATAAATCTAATGACAACACCACTGATAAATCTAACATACATTACAAACAGAGATAATATCCATTCACATTTTTCTTGGATCAGATTTGGTGTAGAGGGCAGGTGTAATGAGTTTACCTCGGGGAACAGATCTGGTGAAGGTTTCAAAATAATTGATCCAATATGACAAGAAAATAGTATCGCATGTTCAATGTAATTCACAGGATGTGTGTAGATCTCCCTGAAATATTCAAACTTATGTTCAATGTCATTCACAGGATGTGTGTAGATCTCCCTGAAATATTCAAACTTATGTTCAATGTCATTCACAGGATGTGTGTAGATCTCCCTGAAATATTCAAACTTATGTTCAATGTCATTAACAGGATGTGTGTAGATCTCCCGGAAATATTCAAACATATGTTCAATGTAATTCACAGGATGTGTGTAGATCTCCCGGAAATATTCAAACTTATGTTCCATGTAATTCACAGGATGTGTGTAGATCTCCCGGAAATATTCAAACTTATGTTCAATGTCATTCACAGGATGTGTGTAGATCTCCCGGAAATATTCAAACTTATGTTCCATGTAATTCACAGGATGTGTGTAGATCTCCCGGAAATATTCAAACTTCTGTACGACTTTCACAATCACTGACAATTATACATAGACCTATCTCCTGTATGAAGAATGAGAAAACTCCACTATCAAAACCTGGGGCCATTAATCTGAATTGACAGGTAATTGTAGAGTTTACCAGTAAAACCTGGGACCATTAGTCTGAATTGACAGGTAATTGTAGAGTTTACCAGTAAACCTGGGACCATTAATCTGAATTGACAGGTAATTGTAGAGTTTACCAGTAAAACCTGGGACCATTAATCTGAATTGACAGGAAATTGTAGAGTTTACCAGTAAAACCTGGGACCATTAATCTGAATTGACAGGTAATTGTAGAGTTTACCAGTAAAACCTGGGACCATTAATCTGAATTGACAGGTAATTGTAGAGTTTACCAGTAAACCTGGGACAATTAATCTGAATTGACAGGTAATTGTAGAGTTTACCAGAAAAACCTGGGGCCATTAATCTGAATTGACAGGTAATTGCAGTTTACCAGTAGAACCTGGGACCATTAATCTGAATTGACAGGTAATTGTAGAGTTTACCAGTAAAACCTGGGACCATTAATCTGAATTGACAGGTAATTGTAGAGTTTACCATTAAAACCTGGGACCATTAATTTGAATTGACAGGTAATTGTAGAGTTTACCAGTAGAACCTGGGACCATTAATCTGAATTGACAGGTAATTGTAGTTTACCAGTAGAACCTGGGACCATTATTCTGAATTGACAGGTAATTGTAGAGTTTACCAGTAGAACCTATTACGCAGACTATATGTGTTAATGAGACCATGTGTGTAAAGTTGACCATGCTGACATCAAACACTTTGCCTGTAAAACATCTTGCTCTCATTAATAAGACTTCTACTGGCTTTCTGCCAACATACATACACACACTATTTCCTGTTTGCAATTCAATCATAGCATCCATGTTCAAATTCTGGTTTCCATAGCAACCATGACATCATTCTTCATCAGTGCTGGCAGGTGAAGTAACCATGGTGACCTTTATTTCCTGCTTCTCAAATTTTATACTTCTTTTTTTTATGGGTTTTCCACCACCCATCCAGGAATGTACAGCTGGTAACGATCAGCTAGAGCTCTGGTGTGTTACTTCCCTCCTGGTCTCTGTCATTCTCTCTCTCTTTCACTCTTTGTTTCCTCTATTACTTCCCTCCCTGTCTGTTTCACTCTTTTCTTCTCCCTGTGGTCCATTCTTTGATTCCCTCTGTCTAACCTTCTCCCTCCCTCTCTCTCTCTCTCTCTCTCTCTCTCTCTCTCTGTCTGTCTGTCCCACTCTTTGTCTCTCTCTGTCCAACCTTCTCTCTCTCTCTTTGTCTGTATGTGTCTCTCTCCCTCTCAGTCCCTCTCTTAACCTCTCTCTCTCTCTTTGTATGTGTCTCTCTCCCTCTCTTAACATCTTCTTGCATTTTCCCTCCATTTTGACGATTCACTTTCTTCACTTCTCTATTTCCCTCCATTTGTCTCTCTTTCCCTGTCTACTGCTTATGTTTCCACCCCTTTCTTCTTTAATTCCATCTCTTCACTCTTTTTGTCTCATCTACTCATCCCTAATCTGTCTATCTCATCACCCTGTACAGCAGACATTGATGTGTACCAATGAGAACTCCCCTGGTCCTACTATCTCCTCAGCACATCTTGTTCCATCTCTCGATCAGATGTCCCCCTGGTAGTTTTATTTGCCTCTCTCTCCCACCCTCCCAATCTATCTGTTGTGATCAGTGTCTAGCCAACACCTTGCTATCTACATCCATCACCAGTCTACTGCAAAACATGTACAGATTTAGTCCGTATCTCTATTGGCCCGGAGATTGAAGGGAGAGGGGAGGAGGAGAGAAAGAGGGGAGCTTGTTTTATCACAGAATTTCACAAACATAATATCTGCACAGCGGTATAAATTTTCAGGAGCTTTCCAAAAGAGAAAAAGAGTTTTAAGGCTATTTCTAAATAGAACTAAAAGAAGTAGACAGAGACAAGTTAACATCGTTTCAAAATCGAAATGTTGTCTTTTCCTCATCTAACAAAGACAGAATGGAGGGGATTCAATCCTTTTTCTTATCTTTTTCTTAAAAAAGTATATTTATTCAACAACTACGCAAAGTGAATTCAATTTCTTTTTCTATCCTACAATTGTTTTTGGTTTTTTCCCCCTGAAAATGTTTGTCCAACTATTTGGTAGTTAATAAATATGCTAGGCAATTTAAAGCAATTTAAATACAAGTATGTATTAATTTCACAACTGACTAGAAGATCATGGTTTTACTAACTGGCAGAGGATTCCATCACTTTAGAACTAATGTTATTTTTACTAAAATGGCCTACTTATCCCTTTGTTGCATGCATCTCCAGTCCACCTGGTATTACGAATTACCCTTGTAACCACGACAACAGCCCCTAACTGGAGATAGAGGCCTGAAATCATAACAATAGCCCCTTATACTTTGTAACCATGGTAACAGAACTCTCCTGGATTTATAGGCATGCATCTACCATGACAACCACACACAGACCCTAATCTGAGCCAGGCCCAGGGGTCACCACCCTACAGTTCACCCTTCAAAGTCATGTCTGTCAGGGGACCGGGAGGTGAACAGGATTGAGGAAGGGGGCCAACAGAAAAAGCAGAAGACCAGATATATCCATTATGTAAAAATTATTGGGTGCTGTGGCTTCACTTTCGGTCTTAAATGCTAGAATTATGTATTGTTTAAATTTCAAGTTAGAACAATTTGTCTGGAGTTTTTTTTTGGGGAAATTTCATATAATAACCAAACATTAATTTTTTTTCCATTTTATAACAATGATCAATATTTTAAACTGATAATATTACATATCTTCATTGCTGAAATATGTGGTGCTTGAAAATTGAAATCTAGAACTCTTGTCGGGGTAGAAAAAATATGTGAAAAATAATCAGTTGAATTGATCTGGAAATAAGATTTTATCTTACACAAGACAAACATTTTTAATGTATTAGAATAATTGCCAGTATGTTTCATCATTAAAATCTACTCAGTAGTTTAAGAGGGATGCCTTGATTCATGTATAACACCTTCGCGCCCCCCCCCCCCCCCCCCCTTGCCGGCAGAGGAAATTAAAAAAAAAATAAAAACCTTTGTTACAACAAGGAAATACTTATAAAAACAATAGGAAAAAACTAGAAAACTAGGTGGAACCATTTATCTATACAGTTATACCTACAAACTTAAAAAAAATTTGCGTTGAGTCAAAGATAGGTGCGAAAACACAAGATTCATGACCTGTCTGTTACTCACTGAGCCGAGTCCTGAGATTTGTCATTAGTATGTGTACACACTATTTCAAGGGACTTGGGACCTATTTGTGTACACACTGTTTCGTGGGACTTGGGATTTGTGTACACACTGTTTCGTGGGACTTGGGCTTTGTGTACACACTGTTTCGTGGGACTTGGGCTTTGTGTACACACTGTTTCGTGGGACTTTGGATTTATGTACACACTTTCGTGGGACTTGGGATTTGTGTACACACTGTTTCGTGGGACTTGGGCTTTGTGTACACACTGTTTCGTGGGACTTGGGCTTTGTGTACACACTGTTTCGTGGGACTTGGGATTTGTGTACACACTGTTTCGTGGGACTTGGGATTTGTGTACACACTGTTTCGTGGGACTTGGGATTTGTGTACACACTGTTTCGTGGGACTTGGGATTTGTGTACACACTGTTTTGTGGGACTTGGGATTTGTGTACTCACCATGTCATGAGGATGGTGGATGGCTGAGTATGATGGTGCCTGTGAGTACTGTGTGTTGCCTGGCAACATGGACGAGGGGTATGTTGATGTCGGGAGACCGTTGTTGGATGACCAGTGATCTGATGCACCATGGGGCGATGGGTCTGAAATAGAAAACCACACTCAAGGTCATTTCAAGGTCAACAGGCACATGCAACTGGTTCACAAGATGATCATACAACTGGTTCACAAGGTGATCATACAACTGGTTCACAAGGTGATCATACAACTGGTTCACAAGGTGATCATACAACTGGTTCACAAGGTGATCATACAACTGGTTCACAAGATGATCATACAACTGGTTCACAAGGTGATCATTCAAATGTTTTAAAAGGTGTACTAATGTCATTTATATCAACTAAGTCATATTAGCAATCAACTCAACTCTGGTCACTTAGAAATATAATTGTAAACTTTCTAGTCATTTCATGCAACAGTTGTACTTTATACAGAATCAAATTAACTTAATAACAAGGTGAAATCTGGGTAGTATACATTGAATTGTTAACTCCATTCCTGCGCAAAGGACCAATGTTTTAACATTTTAACAGTTTTAGATCATGCATCAAATAAATACGTTTGAATCAGTGAAAAATCTGAAAAGTGTTGTCTACAGTAATCACCCAGTATCGAAGGCTCAGAGGAAGTGAAAAATTAACACAGTATACCATCCAATAGTGAACAGGTAGCATCCTGTATTGTATGAATGAACATGCTAGGATTGTGATAGCAGGTCTGTAGAAGTAAAGAGCGTAGGTATTTCTAACAGGTCGCTCTCTTCTTCTACCTTTGGAGGTCTTTACCTGGACCTCCGAAAATAGCTAACCCCTGCATAAGATTTATATATATATAAGACAAATATCTTCCGGAATTCAATGAGAGATGTTCCTTAGAGTGGTATTAAGGTGTTAAATTTTTCACAACCAAAGCCATGAAGACATGAATATACCATATATTGTTAGTCGAGTCATCATGAAGGTTTTTTACACTTACCCCCCATGTAGAAGTTGTCGACGTAGGAAGGTTTCGGGGAAGTATAACGATTTGGCGATTCCTGGCCATAGTCATCAGGACTTTGTGGAGGATAGACCTAGAAATGAGAGAGAAAAAAATTATCACGCAACACATCATTCTGTAATATATGGCTATGATACATCAGTGAAAATTTGTCATCATGAGGTGGGGTCTCTTTGTAGGAACTTATGGCTAGATGTACCTCACCAATCAACATGAGGGAGGCACATTGCCTGCCATCCTGACCAGTCGGGTTACAGTACAAGACACTGGACAATCTGTTTTTACCAAACGATCGTAGTTGGGATGAGAAGAGATCATTTGGGCCATTTCTGTGCTGGATTAAAACTGTACATGAAAATAATTAGACATGTCACTTAATTGAAAATAATTTTGTTACTGCACTTGAATGATTCAGGTTTTCAGACATTGTGTACTCCACCTCTGTTTGAGAGCTGAGCTAAAAACTTCAGTAAACTTTTGTGAGTAAAGGAAAAGACCTAGTGATTTGTTGAAACAGACATTAAATTTAAGCCCATTGTCCAAAGTTCTGGAGAATTACTCCAGAATGGATCTACTTTTCCTACATATAAATCTATAAGCTTTTCAGTCTTTAATTTTTTACAAATTTCCTACAGAAATCTTTCTGTGCACATGTTCCTTCCCAGAACGAAATATTCCCTTACAATATGGGCATAACCATGCATACACCAATACAGAAATTCTCCCTCTCAACGATAAAAATATTTCCTTTGAAGAACTTAATTTCCCTAGCTTTTATTTACATGCCAGTTGAAGTAACTCCACATTTCCCCTTGGCAATAACATAAACTCACCCATATCAATCATAGGGCCAGTCCAATGTTTACATTCGGGGATGAGAATGTGCTAGAAATATGAAATATTTTGAAGAAGAGTGAGGATTTGTAATGACTATTAGGCCCTGTGAGAGGTATGTATGGGTTTATAGTAGTAACAATGTCTTTGATTTCAATGGGGAACAGATTGCCTGGATTAGCATTACTATTGCATAACATCCCTGTGAGGGCTGTGCTGGGAACATGGGTGTTTATCACATACTAACTCCACACTTAATAGTCCACAGCTAGCAGTTATACAACACAGAGAATCAACTCATAAGTATGAATCGTCATATATTCAGCATTTAACATAGATGTTGGATACAAAAATAAACTCCCCGGAAACAGCAGAAAATTGGCCTACATCTACCAGTCCTACCCAGACAGTAGAAATCTTCTACAATCTCTCCCAAAACAGCAGAAAATTGGCCTACATCTACCAGTCCTACCCAGACAGTAGAAATCTTCTACAATCTCTCCCAAAACAGCAGAAAATTGGCCTACATCTACCAGTCCTACCCAGACAGTAGAAATCTTCTACAATCCCTCCCAAAACAGCAGAAAAATTGGCCTACATCTACCAGTCCTACCCAGACAGTAGAAATCTTCTACAATCTCTCCCAAAACAGCAGAAAATTGGCCTACATCTACCAGTCCTACCCAGACAGTAGAAATCTTCTACAATCTCCCAAAACAGCAGAAAATTGGCCTACATCTACCAGTCCTACCCAGACAGTAGAAATCTTCTACAATCTCTCAAAACACAGCAGAAAATTGGCCTACATCTACCAGTCCTACCCAGACAGTACAATCTCCCTCTAGAAAACCGAAAAATCACCGACATTCCCCAACTGTTGCTCATTACACAGCTATAATGAATTTTTTTTATAAATATTGTTAAAAGTTTTTTACAAATTTAATATTTTAGTCTAAAAACAATGTAGGTGAACAAATCTGTTTTTTTCCTTCAGAAATTCTGTTATATCAACATGGAAAATTTCCACCAGCCTTGACACAGGATTGTTTACAGTGTTGTTGATGCTCTAGTGCCAGATACTTATTTACAAAACAAATATATTTATACAATATTATATTGTTTTAACATTTTTATTTATTTTTAATAAAACTGGTTTAGCAACGGAGAGAAACAAAAGGCCAAAATTGAATTTTCAGCATGACAGAAACTCGTACATACACCACGACGACATCTGCATCAACACCAAAAAGAAATATATACCCATAAACTCAATTACAACTTTTTCCTGAGAGTGATCCGATTTTCTAGGTTCCCTGGGGTGATTTAGTCAGCTTTTCATGCAGCTATCCATTTTTTTTATGGTGAGATCCCACCCCCCCCCCTCCGAAAATTCACCTGCTGATGAAATCAGTGCATAAAGAAAGAAATTTTCTTCATAAAAGAAAATTTTTGTTGAGTTAATAATGATGGCAGTTATTAATGTCCAGTGTAACACAGCCAAAATGTGAGAACAATTTCTAAACCAACTCCCACAACTCAATTGTTATGTAAATACAATTTCAGAAAACATATGTGCATTTTTACAGTTATGTTATCAAAGTATCTGCATGTTCATGTACATCAATTTCTACAGGTTATTTGTGTATATATACAATTTATGAGGTATTTCACAATAAATGTTCTAGATTTTACATATTACAGTAATAGTTAGCCATCACCTCATCAGGTCAAATAGTGTCAAAACACTCATAATACAAACAGAATAGTGTCAAGGTGAAGGTGACGGTCAAGTAACACCAAGGTGAAGGCAAGTTACACCAAGGTGAAGGTCAAGTTACACCAAGATGAAGTCAAGTTATGCCAAGGTGAAGGTCAAGTTATGTCAAGGTGAAGGTCAAGTTACACCAGGGTGAAATTAAGTTATGCCATGGTGAAGGCAAGTTACACCAAAGTGAAGGTCAAGTTATGCCTAGGTAAAGTAGAAAACTAATCCCCATAGTGGGCGAGTCAATAGGTATACAGGCTTACAGTCTGATGTAGACTTTTAACTCCCTTCCGGTTATATCGTGTTTGTGTCTTATGTGTCCTCCAACTCATCAGGGTATGTGTTAGTGATAATACACTCTATATATATATGTGTGGGTGTCTGCCCACTCCCCAGGGGTAGTGACAATATGGGTGTCTGCCCACTCCCCAGGGGTAGTGACAATATGGGTGTCTGCCCACTCCCCAGGGGTATGATTTCTTTCTAGGGTAGAGATGCATAGTAAGCATACCACTCGCCTTAGGTAAGGGAAGTGAAAACACGGTATATATGTGGGTGTGTCTGCCCCATGCCCAGGGGTAGGGATCATATATTCTGGATGTGTGTGTGCCTTCTCCCACAAGAAAGTGCAGCACACCCCTCTCCTGACCTAGGGGCAGCACACCCCTTCCCTGACTTAAGGGCAGCACACCCCTCCCCTGACCTAGAGGCAGCACAATCCTCCCCGGACCTAGGGGCAGCACATCCCTCCCCTGACCTAGGGCAGCACACCCCTCCCCTGACCTAGAGGCAGCACACCCCTCCCCTGACCTAGGAGCAGTACACCCCTTCCCTGACATAGGGGCAGTTCACTCTATATATGTGTATGTATATATCAGCTAGCTCCCCGAGGGTTGGGACAATACTCAATGTATATCTGCACAATATTTTCTAGACATACTTACGACTTTGGTGGGTAAACACAGACCCAGGGGTGGGTACATGTTGGGGTAGGGACGGTACACCCTGTAATACGAATCTCGAGCGTTGGGATCCACTTTGACTTCTGATGACTTAAACCACAAATTAAAGTTTGTGACGTTCCTAGAATATGTTTCCAGTGATATATTTCTCACTTCCCACAGAATCAACAAACATTCCTTACAACTGTGATACGATGAGAAACACAAACCAAGTTAACATTAAGCGGACATGCTCTGTATTCCACCTTATACACAATCTCTTGCTAATTGAACTTGTACAAATTACTAATTAAATCTCTCTATAAACCCATTTTCAAACAAATTCTCATTAAATGATAATTCAACTGGTAAATTTTGAAAATAACTTTCCCATAGGACATTTTTTATCGACAGAAGTTTATGTAAGAGAGAGCACTTTATTTAAAATCCAGCAGATTCCATTACTAAGAGCACTTATATGTTACTGTTGGTCCAACTCTCAATGCTGAAGGGCAGCTGGTCCAACTTCCTCTACTAGTGGTCAAATTTCAATATTTTTGGTAAGTCCTTATACTTCTATGGATTTCGATGGTCATCTTTCTGTGTTAGTGACCGACCATCTTTCGTCTACTGTTGGTGAATTTTTTTTCCTGCTTGCAGACTTTCGATATTCATAGTCAAGCTTTCAGTACCAGTATGTAAACTTTTCAATTGATTGTTAAAATTTCTCTGTTGCCAATTCTGTTCAAATTTCTCTGTTACCAATTCTGTTAAAATTTCTCTTACCGATTCAAACTATAACTTTTCAAACTTTTTCAAATATTTCCCTATTGCAAGTAAAAATTTCCCATCAAATGATCCAACTTTCAGTTTAGACAAGACGTTTCTGTATGATGTACTGAAGTAAAGCCTCCTGTAATACGTATCACACTGTCCTCTACAGTTGACATTCATCACACTGTAACAGCCACAGGACAAAATCACACACCGATAGTAAATCACAGAGTTTTGTTCAATCTTCAAACAGTTGGTACTTAAAATCCCCAAGTGTCCCTTGAAGAACTACATCACTGAATGGCTGTGAGAGAGTTGTGAGCAGATCAGCTGCCAGTAAGTATCTGACCTCCCCAACACACTGCCAGTGCTTATACCACCTGTGTCCTCCCTACTAACATCCCTCTCTTGCAGACCCCCCACTCTGGGGGTGCATAGTCTACCTTTTCTTCCAGACCCCCTACTCTTGGGAGTTCTTCTCTGGACCCCCACTGTTTGGAGTTACATAATCTACCCTATTCTGCCAGTACCCTCCCTCTGATATTACTAACCTATGAAACCGAAGACTCCGGAAATACTCTTGAAAACAACAGAATTTAAGCACCAAATTTATTATTTTACAATCTGTAGAGGCCACATATTAACTCAGTAAGTTGCAAAAGAACAAAAAAATCATCCTATCATTATAAAAACTGGTGTTATATGACACATTCATTGTAGAAAATGATGTGTGGCACATTCATTGTAAAAAATGATATT